CATGCAAAGAATTACACATCTCGTCATAAAAATGAGTCTTTCCTTTTAATTATAGGATAAAATGTAAATGAAAATAAATATTGGCTTTATGCCTTTATTTCTTGTACCATAAAATCATTTATTGATTAATATATTTATTTACTTCTAACTTCTTCTATAGTCATGGTCATTAGCATAAAAATGTAAATTATGTTTAGATTCTTAAATGTGTTCTCTTGACTTAACTTCAAATATATTTTTGAAAATACATTATAACTTTTATAAAGTTTAAAAGCAATTTTTTTCATTGACAGGCACTTTCTACTTCTTCATGGGTAACATTTACATGTATCCAGACCCATCATTTTTAATATGTTCTCACATTTTTCACATATTTTTAAATTTCTCACCTTTTACCATTTGACCTCCCTTTCTCTTTGTGTTTGTGTGTGTGTGTGTGTGTGTGTGTGTGTGTGTGTCTGTGTGTATCCCTTAAAAGAAGAGAGACTTGCCAGTCTACATTTCTAAGAGCATGAAAAAAACACAAGTCAAAAAATTCAACCTTTTTTCCACAATCAGTGTAAATTTTATTACCTCAGTACATGTAAGATAGAAAGTAAATGTAAATTTAAATAAATGTAAAATTAGACAGCTTATACTATGGTCAGAATTAAATAAAATATACTATAACATAGCTAAAATTTAAAAACTTTGTAATAAAATACATGAAAGATCAAATATATATGTAAATGTAGAACACTTGCCATTCCAGAATAAGACAGATAACAATTTATATGATATTTTTCTGATTGAAAAATTATCTAATAAAAAGATTCTTAAAGGCTTTTAATAAACACCAACATCTACAGCCATTATGTAACATTAAGTCATGCTTGTGAATGCCAAACAACATTTGAAGATTTTAGGAAAATTTTAAAGGGCTAAATATTTAAACAATCACAGAAAGGCTTGTTTTTATAAGGATGTTATGGGTCATTATTGTTGGAATAATTTGTATATCAACTGGGATACTTATCTACATTTTTCCTAATTAACTTCATAAATTTAAATATGTTCCAGGGACATGATGAGAGAAAAACAAGCAATATAGAATAAAAAGAGATCAATCTTTTGTGGTGAAGCAACTCAGAATGAATAGTGTTTCTGAAAACATAGAAACTTTGTGTCCTCAAGCAAGATAACGCATATTAGCTTTAGTTTGCTTATTTATTAAAGTAGAATTGTAATAGTATACGTAAATAATACTAGAAATTTTTAAAAGTACAATATTTATAAAGCATCAGAATCAGCAAAAGTTATTATAATTTGTCACAGAATATCAATTGCAATATGAAAAGAAATTAGTCCTCAAATTAAATTACTTATTTTCTTGTATTTGTGGTGTTACATGTATTATGTTGATTGTGGTAATCATTTCATAATGTATAAATGTATAAAATTATCCCATTTTACACCACAACCACATATAATTTTTATCAGTTAGACCTCAATAAAGCTTGAGAATGTAACATATAGTTCAATAAATAAGAGTACCATTAATCATATACATTTATTATTCCTATTTCTCCCTAGATCATCAGAAGAAATTTGTAAAATCTTACAGCATGTTGCAACAATTATATTAGAAATCCCAGGTTAAAAATTTCAAAAATTCTTTAAAATATAATTCCTGATTTATGGAGCAAATATAGAAAGTAATAAAATCATTAAATATACATTATTTGGGGACATTAAAAATAGAGAATATTAGATTCTTATCTGAGGGAACATACCTTTGTCCTTAGCTAACTTGCATGCAGATTTTACCAATATTCTAGTAAAAATAAATGAGTAAATATAGTCATAACAATTTTGTATCTGCTTTATATTTATAATTTACTCAAGGTTTATCTTAAAGTTAGAAGTATCCCAGAGAGTTAGAGTAGACTTTTGGTTAATTAAGTAATAAATCTAGAAAATACTAAAGTTAAAAGCCTTTCTTCAGTTATCAATTAGAAGGGGTAACATAATCGGCTGTAACTAACCTAGTGTCCCGGTACTTGTGAAGCACTCATTTACAAGTCACACAAAATAATGCGTTTGTTGTTGACATATTTATCTTTGCAATGAGAATTTGTATACATATAATGTATTTCCTTCACATATTCTAGTCATTAAAACAGCTACACTCATTTTAAAATTTGTAGAATAAATGCTATACTAAGAAACAACAGTGTTCATTTCAGTAGCACATATGGAGAAATTAGAACAAACACATTGTAATTATAGAAATCAATATATACTGCTACTGCCATGAAGAATATCTTAATTATACTTATTATAATGAACTAATTGTTTTCTAAAACTTAAATGATTATAGAGCAGATATAGGTTTAGATACACATTATTAAATGATTAATGTATATTTTATCATATGAAATGAGTTAACTAGTTAACTATTAGTTTAAACTAATTTTGAATATCATATATATAACATGTGTAAATAAATTAGTTTAAATTATATATCACCATTATTTTGTTTTTTTACAAATTAGCTTTACAAACTGCAGCTATCAGTATATTCAAGATAATATTCTTTAATTCACAATTATATTTTCGTAAGAGGTATAATAAGAGCTTTTGAGGTGCAATTATTCTTCCTCTTTAAATTTTGAAGATGTGATTTAGTGTGTTTAATTTGGAACCCTGGGGAACACTGAAAATAATCAGATGCCATCTGGCAAATACTGAAATAACTGAAGAAAGCAAAGGCTTGAGGAAATCATAACTTCAATTTATTTATTAGTTTGTACTTAAAGGATAAAACTAAAAGATATACATTAAAAAGATGATGTGCATATCACAGAATAAAAATGTTTTTGACATGCAGATATTGGGATCATATTTAGTACTTTAAAAACAATATTTATTTTTTTTAATGACATAAAAATAGCAAAATGATTGCTATTACTTGCTCTCCAATTTTAAATGAAGTGACATGAGTTTTTTCTACATATTTAAAAAATATTTTAACAACAAAATATACTTCAAGTTAAACACACTCCTCTGAATAAAACTAGGTCAGCAATTATTGCTAGCCATATTTGTAATTAAATATTTTTTCCATTTAATATTTTATTTCTGGAATATTTAGCGTTTATTCAGAATTTATGCTGGTGTCATTTTCTTGAATAAAAACTAGTGGCTTTTAAACTCAGAACTGAAGAGAATCAGAAAATATGAATAATGATTTGCATATAAAAACAAAATTAAACACTTTAGGCCACACGATGTCACTGCAGTTCCAGTAAGGTGTGGTTTTCTATGTAATTAAGCAGAAAAGAGGGTCCACTGTGTTTACTTTATGTGTTTAATCCACTTTTTATTGTATTTCAGATATTTTATACTGGGCCATAAAATGAAGGTAGAACAAGAAGTAACTTATAAAGGAAGCTATTGTCATTTAATTTTCTAATAGTCACATGAGAGATGTTAGAGAAAATGTCAATTCTTCAATGTTTTTGAGAAAAAAAATGCAAGGAATAATTACAATAAGTTGCTTCTTTTTTAGTCTTAGATTTTATTTATATTGAATAACAATGTTCTAGGCATGGGATCAAGATTTATTCTGCAGGGATTCATATATTTGTGATGTACTGCCTGCATCTTAGAACAACCTATGCTATTGAGTTGTAAAATGGAAATAATAATGATAAAATACTTTATAGGGCTATCATGGGTTGCATAAGAAATGCTTACATCCAGGCTTTAATATAAAATTAGTTTTTAATACATGTTACCTATTATTAGAGAAACAAGCAAACCTATATGGTATGACCACTTTCATTTTTATTTTTATAGAAATATATATATTTGCCAATGTTCCTCAGCCATTTATCAGTAAAATCAGAAAATGCCATACATCAAACCCTACTTTATCTTTTCCAGCAATTATTTCACAGGACAAATCCCATTAGACTGACATCAAAATCCTGAAATGATTTTATTATAAATAGTATTTTCCCAGTTAAGTTTTACTGTATCTATTATTTTGTTATCACTATTTAATATAGTAATATTTTAATTCTGTACAGTTTAAAATGACTTTAACTTGTAATTACAGAATATCGTTATATAGAATCTTGTGAAATAACACAAGTGCCATTTCTTAGATACCTAATATTGCAAATGTGCTTATTATCAGGCCAGTGCAGTTGAATATTGAAAATATTGTACTTTTTACAATTATCTCTTTGATACTTTTTCTACTCTCTGCCCTCACTAAAACTCTGAGTGGAAGAATAAATAAGTATTGTCTTAATACCAGCAACACAAATTAGTATCTTCTGACTCCTAGGACTTTACCTGTGTAAGAGGGAGACACAGGAAGACAAAGATAATAGATAAATGATGGTATTGTATTAGTCCATTTTTACATGGCTATATACAGCTGCCTGAGAATAGGTAACTTATGAAGAAAAAAGGTTAAATGGATTCACAGTTCCGAAGGGCTGGGGAGGCCTCAGGAAACTTATAATCATGGTGGAAAGTCAAAGGCAGCAATAGAGAGAGAGTGAGTGAGGGGGGAAGTGACACTTTTAAACCATCAGTTCTGGTAAAAAGTCACTATCATAAGAACAGCATAGGGGATACCATCCCCATGATCCCATCATCTCGCACCAGTTTATTCCCTTAATATGTGGGTATTAGAATTTGAGATGAGATTTGGGTGGGGACACAAAGCCAAGCCATCTTATTCTGCCCATGGCCCCTCACAAATCTTATTTCCTTTTTACATTTCAAAACCAACAATGTCTTCCCAATAGTTTCACAAAGTCCTATCTCATTCCAGAATTAACTGAAAATCCTAAATACAAAATCTCATTTGAGACAATGCAAGTCCCTTCCACATATGAACCTGTAAAATAAAAACAAGTTAGTTACTTCCAAGATACAATTGGGTAAACATTTCCATTCCAAATGGGAGAAATTTGCCAAAACTGAGGAGCTTTTTTTTTTTTTTTTTAAACTTTATTTCTGCAAAGCCAATCAGAAGTGTTGGAAGGAAAAAGTGTAAAAGCTACTCAAGCATATTTGGGAACAACAAGCACTTAGTTTGAGAAAATGAGGACTTAAACGGTTGAATCAAAGGCAGTATCCTGCTACTTGCATTTTAAATCAATAGCGATGTTCTTTCTTAAGCAACAATCATCTCTTTCCTAATAGCTACAATATGATACAGTACGCAACAGCTCACTTGAAAGTGCTAGAATCAGAGGATAAAGAAGCCAGAAGCCACCGCACTTATATTTTCTACTATACAAAGCCATTTGGCACTTGATAAATCAAGCCTTCATGTAGCATTAAATTCAACAGAAACATCTCTCATACTTTAGGTTTAAGATCCTTGTCCCTCCAGTTCTGATGTCGTGACATCTGACTCTTCATCATTGTAAATATTTTCAGCCATTTGCCATATCTACATGATGTTATCCTCAGACACTGAGCAAATGACCCAAGGCTCATTGGGGTTCCAACTAAAATCTGAAATCTTGGCAGTGTGTCCTCCATGAATAACTCCAGGAGTTCTGGAGGCCCATCTTCTGCACCTTCTGCTGATTGTTCTTCCCCAATTTTACTTAAATCCCACACATTCAGGTGGCGGTCAGTACCACTTGAAGCCAGAATAGTTTCATTATGTGGAGACCAGTGGACCTGGAAAATTTCATCCTTATGAGATTCGAAGGTATGGAGTTTTAATTTTAAGTTACGCAGATCCCATAAAGCTACGGTCTTATCCGCAGAGCTGGTGGCTAGAATAAATTCGCTGTAGGGATTGAATGAGAGGCAATTGACTTCGGCAAATTCAAAGTCTGTTAGAGCACTCATTAAATCTTAAAGTTCCAAAGTAATCTCCTTTCCATGTTTCACATCCAGGACATGCTGATGTAAGGGGTAAGCTTCCAAGGCCTTGGGCAGCTTCAACTCTGTGGCTTTGCAGGGTCCAGCTCCTGCAACTGCTTTCACAGTCTGGCATGAATGCCTGTGGCTTTTCCAGGCACATGGTACAAGCTGTTGGTGGATCTACAATTTTGAGGTCTGGAAGACAGTGGCCTTTTTTTTTTCACAGATTCATCAGCGAGTGCCCCAGTGTGGACTCCGTGTGAGGGTTCCAACCCCATATTTTTCCTTGATATTGCCCTAGTAGAGGTCCTTCATGAGAGCTCCACCCCTGCAGCAGACTTGTGCCTGGATATCTAGGCACTCCCATACAACTGAAATTTAGGCAGAGGGGCTCAAAAGTCAACTTTTGTCTTCTGTATACTGTCAGGCTCAACACTATGTGGAAGCCACTACAGTGTGGGGCTAAAACACTCTGAGGAATGGCCTGAGCTTACCTTGGCTCCTTTTAGCCACAGTTGGAGCTGCGGCAGCAGGGACCCAGAGCATCACATACTGAGGCTACACAGAGCAGCAGGGTCCTGAGCATAACCCACCAAACCATTTTTCCTAAACATCCAGGCATGTGATGGGAGAGGCTGCCATGAAGATGTAAGAAAACTCTGGAGATATTTTCCTCATTATCTTGACTGTTAACATTCAACTTGTCCTTACTTATGCAAATTTCTACAGCTGGCTTGAATTTCTTCCCAGAAAATGGATTTTTCTTTTTTACCACAAGGTCAGGCAGTAAATTTTCTAAGGCTTTATGCTCTGTTTCCCCTTTAAACATAAGTTTCCATTTCAAATTATGTCTTTGTGAATGCACATGACTCTACATTTTTTTTCTTTTTTCTTTCTTTCTTTTTTTTTTTTTTTTGTTGAGAGGGAGTCACTCTGTTGCCAGGTTGGAGTGCAATGGTGTGATCTCAGCTGACTGCAACCTCTGCTGCCTGGGTTCAAGTTAGTTTCCTGTCTCAGCCTCCCGAGTATCTGGGACTACAGGTGCAGACCACCACATCCAGCTAATTTTTTGGTATTTTTAGTAGAGATGGGGTTTCGCTGTGCTCCTCAGGCTACTCTCAAACTCCTGACGTAAGGCAATCTACCCACCTCGGCCTCCCAAAGTGCTAGGATTACAGGTGTGAGCCACCACATGCAACTGATGCTATAGTTTAAAAGAAAGTCAGGTCACCTCTTGAACAATGCTGCTTAGGAATTTCTTCCACCAGATACTCTACAGCATCTCTCTCAAGTTCAAACTTCCACAGATCTTTAGAACAGGGGCAGAATGCCACCAGTCCCTTTGCTAAAGCATAGCAAGGGTAACCTATGCTCCAGTTCCCAATAAGTTGCACCTCTCCATCTGAGACTACCTCTTTCTGGATTTCATTGACCATAACACTATCAGCACTTTTGTCAAATCCATTCAACGAATCTCTAAGAGGTTCCAAACTTTCCTACATCTTCTTGTCATCTTCTGAGCCCTCTAAACTGTTTGATTGAGTCACAGTTTCCTATGGCTGGGGAGGCCTCTGGAAACTTAAAATTATGGTGGAAGGTGAATAAGGCAAGCACCTTTTCCACATGGTAGCAGGAGAGAAAGGGAAGGGGGAAGAGCCCCTTATAAAACCATCAGATCTCATGAGAACTCACTCACTTTCATGAGATCAGAGTAGGTGAAACTGCCCCCATGATCCAATCATTTCCCATCAGGTCCCTCCTTTGAAGCATGATGATTGTGGGGATTACAATTTGATTTGAGATTTGCTGGGCACAGTGAGCCAAACCATAGTAGGTATGTTCAGGAGAGGACTATTAGAAGCAAAATATTTTACCAAGCATTCATCCTAATGTGAATTCCACAAGTCAGTGATCACACAGAGGCATATATAAAACAGGCACAAACATACACACACAAACACACACAGATACACACTCACACACATATACATACACACACCATAAAAGTAGCAATTTTGTTCCTTGGCCTTAATCTTGAATGAATCGCCAGTTATCAACTGATGTTTGAAGGGTTCATTGTAAAAAAAAACAGGATAAGGGAAACAAAAATGAACAAGCATATGATCCAAGTAACGATGATCCTGCATATACTTGTCATATTTTTAGATGATCTGCTGAGGTCAAGAAAATTTTTAGTGTTGAAAATGTTTCAAATGATTCTTTTAGAATCACCCTAAGGATTAGTTTGAGGATCACAGCAAAAATGCTCTGATCCTGACTTTCTGCCTCAGGAGTTTCTAGGTTGAAACATGAAAATAATAATTTCCTGGAGTTAGATGATCCAAATATAAAATGAAAAGGAATAAGCCAAATGTTTCCCAGTTAGAGATATTTTGCTCCCTAGACGGCTTTAACACTAACTAGTGGGATGACCCTAAATATGTTATTTAAGAGTTTAAGCTATACACTTTACAAATCTTGAAAAGTGAATACATTTTGTTTTTGGGTTTCTTACATGGATATCTCATATAATATACTTAAATTGTAGAATATAGTTTCTACCATAAAAATGCTTATTAAATGATAGTATAAATAAAAGGTTAATGTTCGAGTTAATTTTGTTAACTATATTTTCAGAATATAGCACCTAATAATATATTAATATATATAAATAGAGGCTTGATATCTATGTTTTATTCTATTGTACACATTTTTAAGTGACTATATCTAAAAACCAAAGTAAATAAAGTATATATGGGGGAAGGCTACATTTATCTCCCTAACCTCCTCCCTGCTTATATGTTAGAAAAGTTAGAAATTTCCAAGTGTTAGTTTAGGGTCATATGAAAGTTCTTTTTTTAAAAAATAAAATAAAATAAAATCCTACACCAAATATGACAGTCATGAGGATTTCCTAAGGAAAAAAAATATGTGGGGAATATTCAGCTATTGTGTGACTGATAAAAGATATACTTGGGGTAAATACAAGAATCTCTCTTTTTCCTTTTGCAAATTCATTACTTGAATAAGTAGTTATTTTTTCTTTATATTCTAATCTTAGGATTTCATTATACTTATTGACATCTAAAATGCCTGCACTTCCAATCACCATGATATATGAAAATCTCCCCAAAATGGATATTATATTATAAAACATTATTTATAGTTATTTCAAAAATAATCTTTGTGTTTCAATTTAACTTCTATTAATTTTTAATGAAATTCCTCACGAATATGTTTGCAATAACAATGGTTATATTTAAAAGTAATATTTCTCTTCATAAAACAATTTACTTTAAGATTGTAAGTAGATGGAAGAATTAAAAACAAAACCTCTGGTTCAAATTTAAGATGACAATTTAAAATATTTTATAATGTTAAAGTTTGAGAGTAATTTTAATATTTTATTTCAATTAATATACAATTCTGTCATCCATAATGATGGTTAAATCAACAACATGCATATATTACCAGTCTCATAATATTATACTACATTTTTACTGTACCTATTCTATGTTTAGATACACAAATAATTATCATTGTGTTACAGTTGCCTGCAGTATTAAGTACAGTAATATGCTGTGCAGGTTTATAACCTAGGAACAATAGGCAGCATCATATAGCCTACATGTGTACTTGACTGTACTATCTAGGTTTGTGTAAGTATTCTCTATGATGTCCTCACAAAGACAAAATTGCCTAACAATGCCTTTCTCAAATCATACCCCCATCTTTAAGTGACACAAGACCGTAATTGCTCTATATAAGTATCAATGAAAGTAAAAGTTTCAATGGAAGGAATAAAGGATGTAAGAAAAAAGAAAGGGTTAGGACAGATGTATTCTTTCTATTAATGCCTAGATCACTGTACTTTATGAGCAATTAAAGTAAAAGCAGATGGAGGAGAAATAGGGAAATAGGAGAACAAAAACAATATTAAAAGAGCAGAACTAATAACTAGTTTCATAATTCTCATTATTCTCTAAAATTTACTTTATTTTTTAATCTAATGTATGTATTTTTCCATATCTAACTCTTAAAATTAATGACTTAAAATAGTAGCAACCTATAAAGCTGAAGTAATTTAATTCAAAGATAGCCAATCTTACTGAATTATTTTCTGTAAGTCATCTGTTAGCATACATGTACTTCTATTAATGAACCAATTATATAAGGCCATTTTTTCAGCTGTCGTCTTGTGAAATTTAGGTTAATGTCTCCATAGGTTAAGGTCCATAATGAAGGACATCATTATGTGGAAACTACCAGCTAGGAATATTGAGCAGAAGAAAAGATGGAGAGATGGACTGAGAAAATGTATTTAAACACTCAAAACACAGAGAATCAAAGGCAGCCCTAATTCAAGTTGATATACTCTCCCAAACAAGCACTATGACCCTCCTTGCCATTGTACTTTTTCTTTCTTTTAATTTTATCAAGTTTTAAAATAAACCCTGTTTTCTCTCTTCTATATTGTTCTTCTCATAACTTAGCAGAGTTAAGATTAAAGTTGTTTTTTTATAGACTATGTCCAGAACCATACACAGTTTTTGACTGTAAATGATAATAAAAATATCAGCTACCATATGTTAAGCAGGATATTAAATTTTTGTAAGAATTCAGTAAAGTGACCTATAACTTATACCTGGGTTATATGCCCTTGCCCTTAGTTTATTTTAGAACAAAAGCATTATATTAAATTAATAAATTTAATATATTTTTTCTGAAATAAATTGAATCTATATTTTAAGAAAACCCAGTAGACATATTTACTAGTTTGCAACTTTCTGAATATGTCTTTTAGTTATTATTAGGCTTGGAAATTTGAGACAAACAATTTTATAATTGATTATCATGCAATTATTTCAGTTATCTGATGATGTATAATGACTGGTTGTATGAATGACTGGTTTAAAGCAATAGTGTATTCCTTTATCATTCTTCACTTTGGGTAGGATTTTCCATGAATGGATTGTTCATGCTCC